CCCCAGTGTAAATAACACTGCAGACGTATTATCAAATCTAGGATTCTATATATCCCAGAAATGGAGAAAAGCTTTCACCTTTGATGATACCATGGAGACCAAGGCAACTCTGTTTAGGTTGATAACACAGACTTGTTTCATTTGAAAGTTCTCTCTTGCATTGTTTCTTCTATAAATGTTGGCATTTAAAACTTTTCCTTTCAAAACCTGCAGTTACATGAATAGATGTAATATAAAAATGTGGACTCTAATTGACCCCATTATTTTTCTGCAAAAAATACTATCAGGACAAAAGGTTAGGACAATCACCTCCCATCTTACAAATGTCCAAGCAAAATCACCTTATTTAAGAAAGTTGGTCTGAATTTACCTGTTAAACTCTAAAAAACAAGGAAAACAAAAACTCCAACCATTTGAGGCTATCAGAGCATTGCATCACCCCAATAAAACTGTAGGTTTTAGCACATGCACTAAAGAGTACAGAAAGAGCTAAGTTCAATGCTCCTTTTAAAGAATTTATTTTTATACCTATTATACCACACAGTATGCCATTTTTAAACATTGACATGTAACTCCCTACTAAAATTCTCAAAGCAAAATCAAAAGCATTTGCCTCATTAGAAACAAGATACACTATTCACTTATTGTCTTCAAACATTATTGCACTTTTACTTTCATAATTGAACAATGCATTCATGACACAATCTGCAGACAACTACTGTTTTAACAGACAAAGAACACTTTTAAGTAGACATGTCTGTCCTAAACTGTTTATTAGGCATGAATTTTACAAACATTACTTATATTAACGGTAGCGGTGGAGCTGGAGAGTGTTGCGCCTTCTCCAAGCAGCCCGACGAGAACCACCAATAGTATGGTGGAACTTGTGGCCCTTCCCCAGGCCACGGCTCTTGCGGCCTGCAGATGTCAAACCACGCATCTCCCTGTGCTTGTGAACTGGCTTGGTGATCCACTGGGTATCAGGATTTCTTCTGATAGCTTTATGGAATGGATCAATGAGGATAACTTCAAAAAATTTGTATGTGGAATCTTCACCAACCCAGTATGAATTCAGGACTCTCAGGGCCCCACAGTGGCGTCCAGCTCGCTCCT